AGATAATTTTCAGCTATTAGCGCAATGTTTTCATATTTTGTTACGGTATTCTATAACTGTAATTAATACTGAGATTAGGGTTTATACATAGAAGAGATGGATAACATTGAGGACTGTATCCTTGGTGACACGGTGTTCTTGACGTACGCTACAGTACACACAGTACAAAGTAAAATTTGCTAGCGTACAGTACTGTACTGTACTGTACTGTACAGTACAGTATACGAATGTACTGTACAGTACAGTATACGAATGTACTGTAAAGTACAGTATCATGGACACTAGAAAAAGTCCAGGCTTTTTCTAGTTGCTCATAAAGCATACAGTACAGTATACTGTACACTACATTATCATATCAGAGTCTGGCATCACTGTCGTCAACACTAATTAATTATAGGGTTTAATCAACACAGTAGTTATAATTAATTAATCAACTGTACTGTACAGTGTACACTGTGTACAGACAGTATAATTCCATTTTAGCATAATCTACTTTTTACATTGAAAGGGTGCTTGGAGATTTACAGTTAATTAATTTATTATTTTATAAAGAAGTAAAATAAAAGAATGGTTGCAAGGTCATCTAAAACGTCTGAAATAGCAACTTTACGAACTGATGGAATCTGTAGTGCTCAAGAAAATTCTATAGATGATCAAACATATCAATATAGGTATGGATGGGGTTGTTTCCATCCTCAGTATATTCAGCTATTCAATTCTCAGAAATGGTTAATGGCTTTTATCGGCATTTATATTTTCATTTCCGGTATTCAAACTACCGGACTTGGAGGTGTCGTTATTACATCACTGGAAACTCGGTATGAATTACGTAGCGCTGAGACTGGCTTGTTTACTAGCTCATATGAAGTAGCCGCAGCGATTTGCGGCCTAGTAATTAGTTATTATGCTGGTCAAAGACATAAGGGAAAATTTATTGCAACGGGATCGGTAATGGCAGGATTAGGAGCGGTTGCATTTGTATCACCGCATTTCTTTAGTGGCAAATATAGCCCTATCAACAGTGAAATTACCAGTAACTTATGCTTTGAAAGTTTAAATAAGAGTATCGCTTCTAATACATCATCAGTTTGTAATTCCTATATCGCGT